AAACAAGTGAGAAGGATCTGAAAATAGCCTCTTCCTCAACCTCTATAGAAACATCAGTCTTTGACACAAGGTGGCCAGAAAACCCAGAAAAAAAATACTTTTGCCTGGGCCTCAGGCAGCAGAGAGGTCCCTTCCAGCATTGCAAGTTCCGTAACGAGCTCCATGGTGACCACCAACCTGGAAGTTTGGTCCTCAGTTTAGAATGGGGAAGACTGGAGAACACTTCAGAAGATGGACCAGCCTTTGTGGACTCACCAGGATCAGCTAAACACTCAGATTAGGGCTTATGAGAAAGAATGACATCTTGGGAAGGGGAGCTGCTTTCTCTCAGCCCCTCTCGGGAGCGGAAAGCTTCCTGGAGGGTACAAGCAGCTGTGTGTACAGACGAGCCTCTTGCCTGATGACACGCCATGCTTCCCATGGGGACAGCCTGGGCAGGCTTGGCCACTGAGGCCCGATTGTCCCTAGAAGGCAGGCCAGATCCTATTTCTATTACCACACAGCTTTCTCCTGTCTCCAGTTCTGCTCTTCCTGTGTCACAAGCTGAATGCTCTCTGATTGACTTGCTTTGGGGAATTCCTACAGACATCCCAAATTCTGCCATCAAGGGGCTTGCTTGCTTAAGAGCCAAGCTCATTTCCAGCGAGGCGAGAGTCACCGTGGCAGATGCATCTCTGGGTGGCAAAGCGTTAATACCTCCTGCTTTCTCCCATGGCCTTCCAGTAGCTACTTCTGAGGTGAAGTCATATGTTCTCCCTGGGATGGCCTTATCAGCCCTCCCTGAGCCAGGACAGACGGCTACCCTGCCCCATGGTGTGATCTCAGAGGGCATCTTCTCAAAGCACCATGGCGATTTTACAGGAAGAGACTCAACGCATACTTCTTGGAGTCCAAATGGTCTGGCCACAGAACCGCTGGAGAACCTGGCTAGAGTGATGCTGACAGTGGCCCCTCACCAAGCTCCTGTAGTCACAACTGCCCCCTGGTATGTTCCCCAACCTACACTAGTGTTCCCACCGTCTGCCTAATACAGAGAACCCGGAGCACTAGAGGGGACCATGGGAATGTCTACACTAGCTGCATGGTGGCTGTCAGGTTCACAGTTGCCTCCAGATGGCCTATCTGAGACTAGAGGGAGATAGATAACCCCCTCGGCTCTTTAAGTCCAGTCATGCCCCAGGGCTTGTTCAGGCAAAGAGAGAGAGTGGCCGCTGGCAGCGTCTCTGCTGAAGTCCCTGGGAGCTGTGATTCAAGCTTTCTGCAGACTGATGTGGAGTGCCTTCTGCAGAGCTCAGTGGCTTTTCTGTCTCCCTCCCCAAGCCAGAGTGAAACAGAGCAGACATCTAGAAGTCTAGTGAGTACTTCCTGGTCTGGGCCCAAGGAAGCTGTTCCTAGTGGGGCAATAGCTGGTCCTTACTACTTGAAGCCCAGTGGGAAACTGTTCCCAGCTGCTTCATACAGCAGAGGCAGCACAGAAGCAGCAGCCTCCTTGGTGGAAGAAGATTGGGTGATGTGCTGCATCCCTTTAGCTCTGGGCTAGCTCCTGGGTTCTGGCTTTCTCACACTCTGGGATCCTTCCCTGGGTGTGAAGCTCCTTCAGGGTCAAAGACATGTGCTACTGCATATGGCTGCTGCATTGGTCTTGGAGCTGTTAACTGGCTGGGCAGTGAACTTCTCTGGGGAGTCCCTTGAAGAGCATACCGACATGGCCACTCACCCTCAAAGGGGTTTCTTTAAAGGAAACTAAGCTCTGAAAATCTACCCATTCCCTGGTACAGGAGTGGAAAGACTTCACCTGGATCTGCCAGGTTCCCTTCCTAGCTTCCAGAGAATGCCCTGGGAAAAGGATCCAGGCTATGGGCTCCTGCTGTTCCATCCATCTGTCCCCCTGAGAAGAGGGTGAATCCTCTCTGGTGGGTGCTGCTTTTTTCGTATCTATGAAAAAGCTTTAGTGTTTTATTTGTTCACCTCTTTCTCTGTATTTCAAACCATACTTCTCTATAGGGTTTTTGTTTGTTTGTTTGTTTTTGTATTTTTAGTAGAGATGAGGTTTCACCATGTAGGCCGGGCTGGTCTTGAATTCCTGACCTCAGGTGATCCACCTGCCTCAGCCTTCCAAACTGCTGGGATTACAGGCATGAGCCACTACGCCCAGTCTCATTATAGTTGTATTGGGTACATGACTCTAAGTTGAAAACTTTTTCTCTCAACATCTTCCAGAAATTATTCTACTCTCTCTTGTTTCCATTGTGGCTATGGAATCTAAGTGATGTTTCTTCACGGTGATCAATCCTGTCTCTCTGATTTTAAGATCATTTTGTCTTTAAAGTTTTGCAATGTCCTTGTGTCTGTGTCAATTCCTTTTTTATTTTAAATTTTGCTTGAGCATACTAAGTTCTGGATGTTTATTGTTGGATAGCAAACTGCCCCAAAACTTAGTGGCTTAAAGAAACAACCATTTTGTCACCTCTTAGTGGCTCAGAAATTTAAGCAAGTATCAGCTGGGCAATTCTTCCACCCCACATGAGATTGGCTGCAGTATCCTGGTGGTGTTTACCTGAAATCTGGGCTGGTCTGGAGGGTTCCAGATAGCTTTGCTCACGTGTGTTTACAACATGAACATCAGTGGGGACAGCTGGGAGGCTGGGCGCAGATGTGTCCCTCCTCCTTTTACACAGTCTTGAGATTTATCTAGTCAGACTTCTTACAAGGCCTTTGGCTTTCTCCAGAACAAGAGACGAAGATAGAAACAAAATGTTACATTTTAGAATGCTGTGAGGATTAAGTTAAACTTTCCCCCCCAGTACTCATGTTCTGAAGTTGGTAGTTTAAGGGGGCTTGTGGAGCCCATGAAGCTGATTTTGCTCCAGATAAGTAAATGCATATCCTGGGCCCCCCTTGAGTTTAGGGGACAGGTGGGAGTTTCTGCACCAAAGTGACCATTGAAAAGAAATGAAAAGAAGCCTGGCAAGCCCGGCCACTGTGACCTGGGCGCTCTGTATCTGCTGGGCATTCTGTAGGGAGTCACTTTCCCATGCTGTGCAGAGCAAAAAACATAATGGTAGCAACTTAGTAACTTTCTAAATAAGTCACCACTATTTGTTTCTGGCCATGCCTTGTATGGGAGCAGTGACTGCACTTCCACACTTCTGCTTCTGCCAGGAGTTGCTCATTTCCAGGCCGCAGGCTGGAATGAACCAGTTTCACTCAACGCAAAGCTGTTCCCAAGGAAAACGTGAGCTCGATGGCAGCACTGCTCAAAAGCTTAGTTTATCTTGAGTGTATCTTTCCCCCTCCCTTCTTTAATCACCCTTCCCAGCTCTGAGTCCCCAAACTCATATCTTAGGCGGCAGTGGCTCGTGAAGATGAGAATAGCCCCTTGCTCTTACTATAGCTTCTAGAAACATGGTAATCTAAGAGCTTATGAGTGGGATGAGGTCATCTTGCTGGTTCATCAGATAATGGTTGAGTTTCTGTAACCCTAAATATTTTCATTTCAAATAAAGTTGTTAAGCCCAATCAGAAAAAAGAGGGAAGAAAAAGTTTTGGGTAAGTGTAAGCTCTTAAGAGATACTGGGAGCTTGGAAGGATCCAGGAGACACTCCCACTTCTTTCTGGAGTTCATATATTTATTTATTTTAGAGGCAGGGTCTTATTCTATCACTCAGGCTGGAGTGCAGTGGTGTAATCATGGCTCGCTTCAGTCTCGAACTCCTGGACTCAAGTGAACCTCCCACCTCATCTTCCCAAGTAGCTGGGACTACAGACCCACACCACCAATTAATTTAAAAGAAAACATTGCAGAGATGAGGTCTCCCTATGTTGCCCAGGGTGGTCTCGAGCTCCTAGCCTCAAATGATCCTCCAACTTCAGCCTCTTAAAGTGCTGGGATTATAGGCACAAGCCACTGCGCCTGGCCACCTTTCTGGAGTTTAATAATGGAAATGTGTCAGAACCTGTGAACTTATGATGTGGTTTCAAGAGCATCCCCATCTCTCACTCAGGCTGCAGTCCATGCATGCAGCAGGTGGGCTGTGCTTATTGCAGTCCTCTGGGCACCAGCCTGACAGTTATTGGTTACCTGGCCTGAGGGGAAGCACTCTGGAGGGTCTTCGCACTGGCAGTTAAGTACTCTGGACAGAAATGACAGTCACTGGTTGGAAGTGATCTTACAACCAGGCCCAACACAAGAGTTGTAAAAGACAATTTTCTTATGTCTATAGGGAAAGAGCTGGAAGTATTTGAACAGTTTTAGAGTTAGCAACAGGAACTGACTGTGTTGGCCATTAGGGCTTTAGTTCAAACTGAAGCTCAGACTTTTAATCATTTAGTGGGCTTGAAGGCCACAAACGCAGGGTTTCATAGTCTTGCTCTCCTGTTCCAGCCGAGAGAAATTGTCTGTGTTTATTTTGTAAAAAGCCCTTTTTAGCCACTGTAGTATCAAGAGGCAGCTTTGGAGGATGGATGATAATTGGGATTAGGAGCTGGGGTCTGTATCATAGGCTTGGCTGTTTCAGAATTACTTGGAGAATACAACCTACGGTTGCAAAGTAGAAGTAGCAGATCACGGGAGGGGTAAGTACCCCTTTATTTTGGCACAGTCATGTCCTACCTGATACAACTCTGTTTCAAGTACCATACTTTGAAGGCAGCTTTGTCAAGCTGAAACCCAGGGACGGTTACCAGGGGAGGTGGGAGTCTTGGGAATCGGAAGGGATTACTTGGTAGCTGCTCTAAGTATTTGAAGAGCTGTCAGAAGTTTCTTCCTTACTGGCGAGGAACTTACCTCTTTGTAGTGAGATGAATTGGACTGCATTGGAGGTGGTGTGCTCACTACTCTAAGTGATCAAAGAAGCTGGAGAAAGGATTTGACCCAAGTATAGAGAGGAAGCGTGGGTGCCACGGTGACTCCTCAGGTCCCTCCCACCTCTGTCATGATATTTCTGTATTTTTTTCTCAGAAATAAACCTTTCCTCATAGGGGAAAGAGTGAATGCCACTTGAGCCCTCACTATATAAAGACATGGCTGCTCACAAATGCTCCACTGCGAATTCCTCAGGAATCTTGAAATTGGTCGTAGAATCTCCATTTTACAGGTGAGGTGACTGAGGTTGAAAATGAAGGAAGCCAGCTTTCTAGCTATGTGACCTTGGGCAACCTCTCTGTTTAGTCTCTGTAAAATACAAAAAATTAGCCAGACGTGGTGGCAGGTGCCTGTAATCCCAGCTACTGGGGAGTCTGAGGCAGGAGAATTGCTTGAACCTGGGAGGTGGAAGTTGCAGTGAGTTGAGATCACACCATTGTACTCCATCCTGGGCAACAAGACCAAAACTCAGTCTCAAAAAAAAAAAAAAAAATTAAAAATTAGCAAGCGTGGTAGTGCACACCTGTAGCAATGCCTTTAGCATGACTTGATAGCATCTCATAGGGATGTGAGGATTAACCAATTTATAGGCAGCATTTTGAACATCAGTACTTTGGCACAGAATGTGTGCTAAATATGCTTCATGTATTTACTGCTACAATCATGATCAATATCTGAACTAAGTTTGAGACACTATAGGAAGCAAAACTAACTTCTCTCTCCCTTTCTTCTGTCGTCCAATATAGATGCAACAATATTTTCCTCGCTTCCTGGAAATGGCTCTGCTCTAGCCTCTCAACATTATCCAGGAGGTAAGATCTCTTCATTGGAGAATACTAAATATATTCCCAATCTATTGATCATGGTTAGAGACCTGAATCCCCATAAACCCATCTTTTAAACTAATGGCAGAAAATAGGTGTGTACTCAGGATGCAAAATCTTTGACTAGTCATGTCAGGAAATGGACAAAATCAATCTTTCTGATCCAGATTTCAAGCTGTATACTGTCCCAACTTTACATATGCCCCAATTCAACATGTTTTTTGTTGTTTGTAGTGTATTATGTCTAAGGTTTTATATTTCTCAGGCTTAATCTGAACAACAATATTACCTAGGGGCCATTGTCTCCAAATCCATTCCCAAGTCTAGTATAAACTTAAACATAAAGCATGTTCTCATCTTGCATGTAGGTCAGTTTGAGGGTAAAAATCCCAACCAGCATGTGATACTGAAGCACTATTGGGATGCTTTGTTGATGGGGCTTTTTCTTCCTCCCTGTCTTCCGCAGATGTCTTAGCGACAGTGATGGTTAAGGTAGAGCACCTCCAAGAATCTGAGTGTTGAATCTTCCAAAGTGTTCAAATATGTGGTAAGATAAATTAAGCAGAAGGTAAGTTGAGGGTTGGACTGTGTGCTGTTGGCCTCTTGTTCTAGTGACAAGGTCAGCAGTCCCTGTGGGGATCTCAGTTCCTGCCCCCACACAGGCATGTGTACACATACTCACATGCACACAGACACTCCTGGCTTTTGGTTCTTTCCCAGGTAGGAAACTGTTCTTTACACCTTGACTTGCTGATCTGTCTTCTAGCAGGGATCCAAGAACATTACTGAGGGGCAACAGGACTTTGGGTGGGGGTAAAAGACTGGGATTGAGGTGATCAGATTCTAGTCTCATATGAGTCCCTAATAGGGTTTTGGACAAAATCTCCATTCTGAATTTGTTTTCTTAGCTCTGTAAAGTCCACACGTAAGTTTAACAAGGTTTTGGTTCTAGTTTCTAACTCATTGAGACCTAATTGATGCGGAACACTATTTCGGTCATTACCACCAGCACCAGCGTTGTTACTCTTTCTCTGAACTGGTGGTTGACCTGTTTTGGAGAAGTGATTGTGAAGATTAAATGAGTTAATATGACAAGTTTCAAACAGTGCATCGGCATGGCATATAATACAATCTATAAAGTGTTAGTAGTGATGAGAAGACATTGCTTACAGGGTTGTGAATTGTGATATGCCTCTTGGAAAACAGGGCAACAGACATATCAAGAGCCAAAAACAAATGGCTCTCAAACCAGAGATCCCATTTCCAGAAATCCCAAAATATATAATGTTGGAAAACTCATACCAAACATATTCATCACAGGATTATTACATACATTTTAAAGTGAGTGGCTAACAAGATCAAATAAATTAGGAGATCATCTACTTGACTGACTCCTTTGTAGCCACTAAAAGACTAATAGCAACCCAAAAAAAAAAAGAGAGAATACAAACCTGCACGCCTTTGACATAACTACAATTATGTAGTTATATAGTAATATACAATTATGAACACTGTAAAATTGACATATATCCTGGAGTATGTGGGCTTTGGCATTATGAGTCTTCCTTTTTCCTTCATAGCTAACAAGGAGGTCTGCAACATATGCTACAGGTAGTCAAATACAACCAGAAGTGGGAACAGAAGACACAAAGGCTCTTTACTTTTTGTCAAGACCCGACTTGACTTTAATGATCAGTAAGTATCCACTTAGCAGTTCTTTCCTGGAATTAGTTGCCTTTAACTTTTGTTCTTAAAGTCTGTTCAGAAGAATACACTCCTAATAGAGATACGCAGCAGCTGTCTACATGATGCCAGGGTTCATTGGGTCTTTTTTGGCAACACTCCAAAGTATTCTCAATCTGAAGGCAGCCTCCACAATCCGTTGGTAGGAATGCGTTGACTGTTGACTAGTACTCATAACAAACAAAGATAGTCTTATGCCTTCATAATCTCTACTCTTGCTTGCAGATCTTTGGGGAAAAAAACTATTCACTCCAAAATGATGAAAGCAAGCTAGCTAGAATGGAAAAGTAAGTGTTCTTGAGGTTTAGTAGTTTTATTCAAGATGATGTGCTGGACCAGGTGTGGTGACTCATGCCTGTAATCCCAGTACTTTGGGAGGCCGAGGTGAGAGGACCACTTGAGCCCAGGAGTTTGAGACCAGCCTAGGCAATATGAAGAAATCCTGTAGCTACTAAAAATACTCATATGCAAACATTAGCTGGGCATGGTGGCATGTGCCTGTAGTCCCAGGTCCTGGGAGGCTAAGGTGGGAGAATTGCTTGAACCCAGGAAGCAGAGGCTACAGTGAGCTGAGATCATTCCACTGCACTCCAGCATAGGTGATGGGAGTGAGACCCTGTCTCAAAAGTGTTAATGTGGTTATTACACTTTGGGGGAGAAAAAAGCCATATTCACTTCTACTATAGCTCAAGTATCTGAAATAAAAGGGAAAAAAACCCATGAAGTGTTAAAACTACAGTGTCAAACAAGCTCTTGATCAGTTTTCCCTTCCTTGTAGTAAATGGGAGAAGAGCCTGGTAAAACACAATGAACTGCAGCCAGGGTCACTACTGTTTTGAAGAGTATGATAAAAAATCTCCCTGGCTGGGCACGGTGGCTCCCTCCTATAATCCCAGTACTTTGAGAGGCTGAGACGGGAGGATGACTGAGAATAGGAGTTCAAGACCAGTCTGGGCAACATGGCAAGACTGTATCTACAAAAGAATGCAAAAATGTTAGCCACACGTGGTGGCACATACCTGTAGTCTCAACTACTTGGGAGGAGAGGATCGCTTGAACCCAGGAGTTCAAGGCTGCAGTGAGCTATGATTGCGCCACCACACTCTAGCTTGGATGACAGAGAGAGACCCTGTCTCTTAAAAAACAAACAAACAAAAAAAAACACTCCCTGTGTTAAACCTGCATGTGAAAAATCAGTTTTTTTCTATAGAAGTGAACTAAGAAATAACTTAATGGAAAAGAATCTTGAATTTAAACAACCTAAATTAATGAATGCAATAGTCTATGATATAGTTTCATAACTTTACTGTCTACTCTTAGAGGCTTTAAAACAATGTAACCTTTGTCTACCAAGTGATATTTAGATTGTTTTCTTCTACTCCCCTCCAAAACATTCCTGGAAAAGACGCTGTGAACGTCACATATGCTTCCTGGCTACACTTGAGGTCTCAAGGAATGGATGTACCTGATTCCCTGTCTTACCAGATAAAGGCACTCATTGAGGTTGCTCTAGGAACCCACAAGGTGGAGAAGAGGTGCCCCTTCCTTGAAGGTATGGATAGGTCTCTTGGCTGCCAGTGGCCAATGGCATGTGCCACACTTGGATTAGGCGTGATTCAGCCAGGATCAAGTCGAACTAGGCAAAGTCCCCCAATGGAAGGCCATGTCATTTCCCATGGAGAACAGACCCTTTCTCAGTCTTCATCGTGGGAATATTATGCCTCTCTCCCAACCTGAGGAAGAATTGGCTATTAATTCATCTATGCATGTAATATATTGTATTGCATTTTACTATGGGCAAGGCATTTTTTGGAACACTGGGGAGTCAATAGCAGACCTAAAAGGGAAATCCCTTCTCTCATGTGCTTCACAGTCTAATCAGGAGCTAGACCAGATAAACTAGAGTATCTGAGTTGATACGCTTTATGAAAAACAATCAGATAAAGGGGATAAATTGGGTTTTGTGTATGTGCGTGTATGTGATAATAGTCTTTAAAATATGGTAAGGGGAGGCCTCCTTGAGAAGATGATGAGGGAGAGCCATGTAACCCTTGGGGGAAGAGGCTTTGGATAGTGCTGAGGCTCTGCGCAGGGTTGTGCGTTGTGTGTTCAAGGAACAGGTGGAGGCCAGGAAGAGAAGGAAAGGGCAGCAGAGGAGCCTTCAGGACACCCTGAGAGATAGTGTGATAGAAGGGACTGGACAGTAAGACTGGCCAGAACACCCTATTTCTTCTGTCTTTAGATGTGAACAAGTCTGAGACTGGCCTAGAGCTCTTTGGCGATTCTTGTTGCCAAGAGGACTGTGAAGTCCGCGCCTCCATGCAGCCTGGCATGCTGTATGTGCGTGCTCCCTGCCTGGGTATTGGTTGCTTAGGCACTCTGCCACTGGCTGTGTTTACCAGCTGCTGGAATCTCCTGGAAGACCTGTACCCTGAGCAGGTCAGGGTGGAGCTCTTATCCTGATGCCTTTGGCCACAAAAACCAAATAAAACATTTTATGAAGGATACGGACGAAGTCCAGGAACTGTTCTAGAACTTGGAACATGTTGTAAGGTCATTTATTATGAGAATGTTCATTGTACTGAGTTTTCTTTTGCAACTTTACCTTTGGAATACTTCCATAGGATGCTATTCCTGACTCTGATAAAGGTAGACGTGAGTAGGAATTAACTCGAGCATCCAGTTGTTTCCCTGAGGCTCGTTTGTGACCCTTGCTTTTGTCTTGCTTTTTTTCTTATCAAAGATTACATTGGGCAGAGGCTTGCACTGGAAAATCGATGTGAGCTCCTTGTGAGTGGGTCCAGCATAGAGCAGTTGGTAATGAATTAACGGATGCCCTTAGCCTTTTTAAGGACTTACTGCTGGTGCTGGTAATTCATTTGGTACAGTTACCTCTGAAATAATGTAACCTGCCTGTGCTGCCACAGACAGATCAATAGACATGATTTTTATTTCCCATCTTGCTAACTTGCTGTGTGACCTTGGTGCTCGGGTCTTGCATATCCCTGTGAAACAAAGGATTAGATTAGATGTTGAAGGCTTTGTTTAGATCTTTGAATGTTAGATGCTGAAATCCCAGCAAAGATGCCATTTAGCACAATCTTTTTCCACTGGACTCTAAGGGTAGGTGGGTAATCTTGCAATGCTATTTGCAAGTTTTTTTTTTTTTCTTGGGGGAGTTTCTTAGTTCTTATATGTCAAGAGAAGATTGAGTTTGGCATTAAATAGAAGCTCAGTATATAGTAATTGAATTTCTCATGGTTAGAAATCTACTTGTAACTGAGTTTTTAAAATACTTTCATGTTTTTTTCTTCTACCCCTGCCCTCTTAAGTATCCAGATAAGTCAGTGACAGGACTTAAGTTGGACCAGGGTCTGTGAGGCAGTCATCTGGAGCTTGCAGTCGTCTAGCTTCTGTGGATTTTGCCCTAAAGATAGTTTCTAGTTCTTTGTGTCTATATAAACTATCTGACGGTAGAATACATTCTGAAATACAACTGGCCTTTGTGCTGCTCTGGGTACATCATCTCAAATATAACAGATTCTTTTTGAAAATAAACAATTTTTGATATGCATAAAATGAAAAATATTTAATCGTCAGCTCTCAGGCAATTTATATTTGGCATCACAAAGGGATGTTAGGTGTTTTCCAAAGTTAACTCTGTGTGCATGCATGGGGCTCTTCAAGGAGCTATATAGCAAAAATAGGTAGGAAGCCCTTCTTTTACCAGGTTCATTTGTTTCAAGTCTGGCTTTGGCTTTTAGTCAAATGTTAGCATTTGTTTATTTTCTCAAGAAATACTTACCTGTGATGTGCCTGACAACATGCTAGAATGGGTATGAGAGTGTAAATTTCTGAAGGTGCTTTTGAGATCCCTTTAGGAAAGGGAATATAAGCCTGTTACTTAGTTCCCTTAATAAAAAATTCCTTTGTGTTTCAGGATTTGGATTATCCTTTAACTACCTGGGCCTGCTGGTTGGAGTTGCTGTGCTTACTGCCATCTTGCATATGTTAGTTATTGGTCTTGTGTGACTTGTGACTAGAACATACATGAAGAAGGCAGATTCTCTGGGTCAGAACACAACATCACAGGAGTGCCCACCTACAGCACCTACTTTTGATCTGAGGAATCTTTTTTTTTTTTTTTTTTTT